ATTTTTTTTTTTTTGTACTTAGCTTTCACCCTTATGTTTATGATGCTTTATAGAAAATATATTATAAAGAAATTAAAATAAGACTGTTAAGAGTAAGATTAAATTTCATAAGAAAGGTATCTAATAAATTTATAGGTACCTTTTCTTATTAAATTTTATCAGAAGTGTACATAAAATACTATAATTTTATGTACATTTATTACATTTTACTGTGTTATTTGTATTTCCATTCATTTTATTATTAATTTTGATATTTCATTTATGGAAAATGTCATAACTGAGATTAATATAAAAATAAGATCATATAAATTTCATAAGATGATACTGATACTTGTAGGTACCCTTCTCAGTTGAAATTGAAAAATCAATTAACTTCTCCACACGTTTTTTGTAAAAAGTAAAGGCCTTAACAGCGGAGAACAATGCTTAACTCAAATAATCCAACTTAATTATTCTGCACAGTGGATAGAAGTTTTAATTACAGCCAGATTATAAGATCCAAAATGTGTGAGTTAATTACCTGGTCTTCTGATTAGTCAAAATTCAGAATTTAACAACGATAAAAAAGATCTATCTCATTAAACATGGCACGTGGAACTAGAAAGTCTACTCCAGTGAGCAAAATAAAGGGTTTAATAATATTTTTCCAACCAAATGTAAAAATCTATTATAATTAAAACATTGTAATAATTGTGGTAAAACAAAGATCATCGAAAAATAGTTTTTGCTTTCATAAATAATGTCCATATTCATAAAACAAAATTGAAATAAAAATTTTGAACAATTAATTTTTTGTTTTAATATTTGTAAAACTTTTAAAATTAAATGTTTAAGACTTAATGTGTCTAACAAAGTAGATTCAAAAGGAATATTATGAAATGTCCATAACAGACTTCATCTGAGAAAAGACACGACAAAACAAGCAAAATAAAATTCCACAGCAGCTATTTAGATGAGATTAATTTGAATGGAAAAGGAAAAGATTTTAAAAAATTGACAGACTGGACAAACACTGGATTATCTCCACTCACTGTAAGTTTTATCCCTGTCTCAATAGTTTCTGAATTTCATTAACATCCGATTGTATTTGATTTTTGCAAGGAAAAATTAAAAAGTAAAATAAAAAAAATGACAAAAACTAAAAATTGTCTATGATAAAATAAACAAAAATATGTAAAAAGTCATTTTAACTTATTTTGTAATTTACTGTTTTAAAGCAAGGCCAAAATTAACTAAAACTTTTTTTTGAATTAAAAAATTGTGCTTGGTAGAATTTGTGTACATGCATAAGTGTTTAAGAAAAATAACATTCCTTAAAAATAAATAACCAAGAAATTTTTAAACAGTGAATATATTTACATATCTTACAAATATTGTACTGTAATTTATATACTTCAAAAGCAGCACTTTCTCCAAAACTAA